AAACACTTCCATGCAAGTGTGGAAAGAGAAACAGGTAAAATGTTGAAGTGTGTCAGAGCAGATAATGATGGTGAATACAGGGGGGCCATTTGAGCATTATTGCAGGGAACATGGAATCAGGCTTGAGAAGACAGTTCCAAAGACTCCACAGCACAACGGAGTTGCAGAGAGAATGAACCGCACAATTAATGACAGAATCAGATGCATGCTCTCCCCCCTGCAAAATTGTCTAAATCATTCTGGGGTGAAGCATTGAGAACTGCAGTAGATTTGATCAACCTTTCTCCTTCAATTCCTCTTGATGGTGATGTTCCAGAGAGGGTGTGGCGAGGGAAAGATGTCTCATATAATCACTTGAGAGTGTTTGGCTGCAAGGCATTTGTTCATATTCCCAGAGATGAGAGGTCCAAGCTTGATGGTAAATCAAAATAGTGTATCTTTTTGGGTTATGGCCGTGAAGACTTTGGTTACAGGTTTTGGGATCTGGTTAACAGGAAAGTCCTTAGAAGTCGAGATGCTATTTTTGTTGAAGACCAAACCATCGAAGATATTGACAAGAATGAAAAGCAGAAACAGGTTGGCCATAGGTACATTGATGTTGATCCAGAGCCTCCTACCATAGTCAATAATAATGGGGGAGATGTGAATGCAGATGTGGACAATGTAGGTGATGTTCCTGAGCCCCAAGTTGATGAAGAAATTGAACAAATTCCACCAGAGCAACCTCCTGAGCCAGTGAGGAGATCCACTAGAGAGCACCATCCTTCACCGAGATATCCTCCTCATGAATATGTGATGCTTACTGATGGGGGAGAGCCACAAAGCTTTGAAGAGGCTATGTCACATGAAGAGAAAGACAAGTGGTACAAAGCCATGCAAGAAGAGATAAAATCCTTACATGAGAACCACACATTTGAGCTAGTGATGCTACCTAATGGTAAGAGAGCACTCAAGAATAAGTGGGTGTTTAAATTGAAGTCAGAAGAAAATAGCTCACAGCCAAGGTACAAGGCAAGGTTGGTTGTGAAAGGATTCATTCAGAAGAAAGGTATAGATTTTGAAGAAATTTTTTCACCTGTGGTCAAGATGTCTTCAATCGAGTTGTACTTGGTTTGGCAGCTAGTTTGAATTTAGAGGTTGAGCAACTTGATGTGAAGACCGCATTTCTCCATGGTGATTTGGAGGAAGAAATTTACATGGAGCAGCCTAATGGTTTTGCAGTCAAAGGTAAAGAGAAGCTTGTCTGCAGATTGAAGAAGAGCTTGTATGGTCTTAAACAAGCTCCAAGGAAATGGTACAAGAAATTTGATTCTTTCATGGTGGATCATGGGTATGCAAAAACTTCTTCTGATCATTGTGTGTTTGTGAAGAAATTCCCTAGTGAGAAACTTATTATCCTTTTGCTCTATGTTGATGACATGTTGATTGTTGGTCATGACATGAAAGAGATTGAGCATTTCAAAAGAGAGTTGAGCAAGTCCTTTGCAATGAAGGATTTAGGCCCTGCAAAGCAAATCCTTGGCATGAGAATTACAAGTGACAGGAAGAATTGCAAATTGTGGTTATCACAACAAAAGTACATTGAGAAGGTATTGGAGAGGTTTAATATGTCAAATTCAAAATCGGTTGGCACTCCACTTGCAGGTCACTTCAAATTGAGCTCTATGCAATGTCCTACAAGTGAGAAAGACAAACAAGAAATGGAGAATATTCCGTATGCATCTGCAGTTGGTAGCTTGATGTATGCGGTGGTGTGTACACGTCCGGATATTACTCATGCAGTTGGCGTGGTCAGTCGTTTCCTCTCTAATCCTGGCAAAGAACATTGGCAAGCTGTGAAATGGATACTCAGGTATCTCAAAGGTACTTCTGGAGTCTGTTTGTGATTTGGAGGTGGTAAGCCTATGTTAGATGGTTTTGCAGATGCAGACATGGCTGGTGATGTGGATTCTAGGAAGTCTACTTCTGGTTATATGATGACTTTTGCAGGGGGAGCAGTGTCATGGCAGTCTAGATTGCAAAAATGTGTTACTTTGTCTACTACAGAGACAGAGTATATTGCCGCCACAGAAGCTGCAAAGGAACTCTTTTGGATGCAGAAATTCCTACAAGATTTGGGTCTCTCACAGGAGAAATATATTTTTTATTGTGACAGTCAGAGTGCAATCCATCTCAGCAAGAACTCGACTTATCACTCAAAGTCGAAGCATATTGATGTTCGGTATCATTGGATACGCGATGCGCTGGAGATGAAGAAATTTTCATTAGAGAAAATCCATACTGACGAGAATGGTTCAGATATGATGACAAAGGCCTTACCTATGGAGAAGTTCTCTACTTGCAGAAAGAAAGCAGGTTTGGTCTCCTATGGTCTCCCTTTAATTTGGTGAGGGGGAGAATTGTTGTGTGGGTCACCAAAATAAGTGAGTCCACTTAATCTTATTATTATTAATAGAGAAGAAGAAAAAAAGGGAATTAGCTTTGTGGGCCAAAGCCCATGAAATGGTTAAAGGGTTTTAACCCTCGTGTGTTAGATATAACAGGAGCAAGGGGGAAGAGAGCTGCAACGTGAGCGACTCTACAGACAGAGAGAAGAATATCAAAGAGTGTCTCTTTATTATTGTGTCGTAGAACCCGTTGAGGGGTTAGTTGATTTGATATCCACCTTGTACGGTAAAGATTATATTTGCTCTGTTGATCCCTGGTGGTTCCAGGAGGACTTGTGGTGTACCCATTAATTTATTAGTGGTAGATTTACTGGCTTGGTCCCGTGGGTTGTTTTTCCTTTAAGGGTTTTTTCCCACGTTAATAATTCTGGTGTCTACTTATTTTATTTACTCTATTTTGTGCTTACTATTGTTGTTTGAGCAATTTTGTTTGGAGCTTATTTTTAATTGCACGCAGGAGAAAAGTTGATCCAGCAGCTTCCGCATTTTATTACTATCTTCTATATTTGTTTTCTTTCCCAACACCTCCATGAACCTGAGGCTATTTGGCGCCGTATGCCTGAAGGTAGATACGGTTGCTTGATTTCTAAAGTGGTACTTAAGAAGAAGATTGATGCTGCATCAAATGAATCCCTATGGTGGCGTGATATCATGAGCATTGCCGATTCGGAGAAATCTGGTTGCTTCATGGACCAACTGTCATGTAAACTTAGAAGTGGTAAGCACATATCATTTTAGCATAGCCGCTGGCTAGGCTAGGTTACGTTGAAGTCTTTATTTCATAATCTCTTTGTTATTACCATTACGAAACTCGCGGCAGTTGCTGACATGGGGAGTTGGAGGAATGGCTGTTGGAAGTGGGATACCATAATTACTGAGGAATCACAACCTGCAAAATTGTTGGATGAAGTGGAAGCGATGAAGATAATTTTGCTGGAAGCTAAACCTTCATTAGTGGATGCTGACTATTTTGTGTGGATCCCGGAAAGTTTTGACAGATTTATCGTTCACTCTTGTTACAAGTTGATGTTGTCTCATTCAATTATGGTGGATGTTGAGATTATTCCCAAGGTTGTGTTGGAAATCATTTGGCATACGAAAGTACCGTTGAAAGTGGGTGTTTTCGGTTGGAGATTCATTTTAGATCGACTTGCAACACGGGCGAACCTCGCGGCCAGGGCTATAATCTCTAATTCACACGATTTAGTGTGTGTGCTTTGCTTTAGTGCGAGAGAAGATTTCAAGCATATGGTATGTCGGTGTCCGGTAATTGTAACGGTATGGAGGACGATTGCGGATTGGGTGGGGATACCTTGGTTGGACAAGGTAAATATTTGTGATCATTTGTTTACATGGTACTGGAGGGTGATTGAGAAAACGTCAAAGTCATCCACTTGTTTCATTTGGATCATATCATGGTGGACTATATGGTGGATGAAGAATCAAATCATTTTTAATGATAAGGTTGCTAGGTGTGAGGATATCCCAATGACAGTGAAACAAATTTTTTGGAATTGGTTGGAATTTCAATTCAAATCAAAACTCAAATGTAGTTTTTACTATTAGTGCAAATCCCCGTTGACTTTTTGTGATTTTTGGTGTGAGTCTTCTGAGTTATTATTTGTTGATGTAAATATACTATCGTTGTATATGGATTGGTATTCTCCTAATATACTGATATTGATCGTCGGAGCTATGGATATGTTAAATTTTTCAATAAAAAGGTTCAACAGGAATCACCACTGCGTTTAAAATTAACAAACAAATAAATAAATTTACGTAAAATAAAATAAAATTTGAAAGAATTAAAGTGAGACAATTATTTTATGACTGTATTCAAAGTCATGCTCATAATATTTGTGATGTGCAGAATCATAGCAATTAATCACAACTAAAAGTAAAATGTTTTGTTGAGCATAATGAAATTAGATAGTTATACTATATATAATTTATTGATATTTTTTTATTATATAAAATACATGCATTTAGTGGTACATGTGAATTATATAAAAACCAAAATTAAGTCAATTTACGAGAAAAAAAAATTAAAATTAAAATAAAAATTAAGTTTAAGTCGTCCTTTGTTTGTTGTAAATCTATCGATTTTCGGGCGAATTTTATCATTAGAATCTAAAATCAAATGAAATAACATTTAAAGACTTTATATATAGAAAAAATGGAGACAAAAAAAAATACACCAATTTAAAAAAATATCAAAAAATTATTTAAGTCTAAAATTAATTAATTATAGCCAAAATTAATTTTAAAAATAATTAAAATTAAGTTTTTTTTTTGAAAAATAATTGTTAGTGAATAAAATGCAAGTAATACATAATTTGTTAAAATATTATTTTTTAAAGAAAAAATAGATAATAAACAAAATAAAAAAATAAAAAAAATGGTCTTTACGTATTATAGATTGATAAATAACAAATATGCTCGATATATTATCCCTGATTTGTGCATAAGCCGTTAAACTTACTTTTAAATACGAATAATTTCCGCAAACTTTTGAATTTATAATTAATGCTTCTTAAACTCTAGTGAATTTCAATGGCTCCCGAAGCAACAACACGGGGAAGAAGGAATCGAGTTTCACCATCCACACCAGAGATCATCGACCTCGACTCTTTCCGCTCATACGGCAAGCGAACCATAGACGACGACATTAAGATCCTCAAATTCACTCCTGAAAACATTCCTCTAAGAAAACGTAAGAGAAATTTCGAAAGAGGAGAGTCTTCAAATTCAAGTAACATTCCATTTGTTTGCGAAATTTGCACGGAAACTAAAACAATGAAGGAAGCTTTCTATATCAGCGGCTGCTCTCACGCATATTGCTCTGATTGCGTTGCAAATTACATTGGTTCCAAGCTTGAAGATAACGTCATCAACATCTCATGTCCAGTTCCCGAATGCAAAGGTTCTTTGGAAGCACAGTTTTGCCGGAATATTCTTCCGGCCGAGGTTTCTGAAAAGTGGAGTAAAGCATTGTGCGAGGCTCCGAACAATGTTTCGCAGAAATTCTATTGTCCGTTTCCAGATTGTTCTGCTATTTTGATCAATGACGAAACCAAGGCTGTTAGAAATTCTGAATGCCCTAACTGTAATAGGATGTTCTGTGCACAATGTAAGGTTCCTTGGCATGATGGGATCAAATGCAGCAAGTTCCAGAAGCTGAGGGAGAAAAAAGATATTATGTTGATGCGCCTGGCACAGAAGAAGCACGGGAGGCGATGCCCTAATTGCAAATTTTATGTTGCCAGAACAGCGGGCTGCAACTTCATGCTTTGCAGGTTATAAAAGTACAGAATAATTTTAGCTATATGTTCGTTTCATCTAGTAAGAAATTTCTTATTTTAAACTTTTATTGCAGGTGTAAGGGTAGGTTTTGTTACAAGTGTGGAGGTACCTACACTGCTGATGGCGGACACTATTGTCCGAAACTCGTCAAGAGGAATCTCGTCTATCCGGGTCAACAAAAGCTAACTCTCTCTAGAATCTTTCCAGGTAGAGTTTAGACTGGTGGGACAAACTCCTCATCAATTTGCTAGGTTGATGAATCTAACCAAAGGGAAAACGAAAGAGTTTTTTTATTTTTTTATTTTTTTTACCTATCTTTATTTTTATAGATTATGTGAATGTTGAAATTAGTTGAATATTTTATCTGTCTTCTTTGACATGTATTGAAACAATATGCTACTATATAAATTTCAGTTTTACAGCCTTTCAGTATTTATATTGACCGACTATTCTGCTTAGTAAATTTGGTAATGCAAGTTTTGAGTTTTCTTTGATGTCTATTGTTTTGCCAACAAAGTATGTTTGTGCATGTTGGCATGTGTGGAGTTGTTTGGTGATTTGGAAGAAGGATACATAAATTGTTGTTGTTGTTATTTGGTGGTATTTATTTAATAAATGGTATCATGAACTAGAGCTACAAATAATCTCTAAATTCATTAGGCTCATTTATCAAACTTTTTACTATTTTCTTTTAATTAACTAGTTACAAATAAGCTTTAAATTCGTTGGTCTCATTTATCAAACTTTCTACTATTTCCTATTAACTAACGCATTCTATTAAGACTTTTTTTTACCTTTAACACCCTAAACTTTGAAATACAAAATAATTAGAAAATAACATAAATACATTTAGAATCTACTCCCCAACATAGATTATTTAAAACATGCGTATAATTAAAATTTGTCATCACATGTTCGCTTTTACATAAGCTTATTACAGGAGAATAATTAATTCAAAATAATTTCAACAACTAAAAATATCTCATATCATCAAAATAGTCATGACAATTGCCTTCAACATAAACAACCTCAAACAAAAGCAAATAGCAAAGCAAAATGTTCGTTCGCTCAGTGTTACAGATCATAACAACCTCTACGTTCGTCTGAATGGTAAATTTGTTAATATGTCTAAACCGTCAAGAAATTCATCCCCTCAGGAAATTCCTCCTCTCCAGAGTAACGCTCAAATTGAAAAAGAATAACCAATCAGAACGAGGGTTAATGGTACAAGCACTTCAATGATACTTGGAAATAATTGCTCCTATTGTGAGTATGATCTTGGTGTAAGGGCAAAGTGCATCATACTTGGTTATACTTGTTTTAATGATGTCAAAACATATATAGTTTGAAAAATATACTTTGGACGGTATTATCGAGTCGCATATGCATACGTTATCTTTCTTGTATCAAACATTTGTCAAAACATGTCTAGGTACATATAGAAAGAGCACTATGTGTGTTCTATATGAGTTTTATCATGTTGGTTAAGTTAGAGATGCATTAGGATCTCTTAGAAGTAGCTAAATATATAAAAATCTGCATTTTTGCAAGTTCTTAATCTTTGAGTCGACTCATAGCATGCTTAGGTCGACTCATACAGAAGTCAATTTTCATGTCTTGCTCTTAGGAGAGCTCGCGTCGACCCTCTGGTCGACTCATACTGTGCGCATTTGTGCTTGTCAAAATTGGTGTGCTTTGTGAGCACTATAGTTACTGGAAAGATTGTATGCGCGTGCATATAAATTTCATTGACAGAAAGGTATGGAACGTTATATTGAACGATTCTATGGAAATTACCCTGACCGATGAAAATAACGTTGTTGTGCCTAAGCCTGAAGCATAATGGAATGATGAATATGAGAAAAAGTACAATTACGATTAGAAGGCTAGAAATATTCTGATCGCCTCCTTAGAAGTTGATGAATATCATAGAGTTTCACATTGTATGACTGCTAAAGCTATGTGAGACTCATTGCAAGTTTCCCATGAGTTAACTAATGATGTCAAACTAGCTAGATCAACACTTTGACTCAAGAGTTTGATCTTTTTCACATGAAGCAAGGGAAAACCATTGCCGACATGCAAAAGAGATTTTCTCATTTAATCAATAGACTAAATTCACTTGGTAGACCAATTTCCAATGATGTTGCTACTAACAAATTTTTAAGATTTCTTACCAGGGAGTGGCAACCAAAGGTCACAGTCATAAAGGAAGCAAATGATCTTATGACTTTGGACCTTACAACTCTTTTTGGGAAGCTCCAAGAACATGAGCAAGTGCTTATTAGTCTCGAGCAATTTGAGAAAAAGGAAAATAAGGAAAAAGACCAAAACTATAGAAAAGAAGTGTATAGCTCTAAAAGCTTCTTTTTCAAAGTCCTCTACAAAAGAGTTAAGTGATTACGACTCTAGTGATGACGATGATGAAGAAATGAATGAGGATATGGGGCAGTTCGTGAAATGATACAATCACTATGTAAAGAAGAATGGTATCCAATATTCCAAAAATAATCTTGTAAATTTTAGAAGACAATCAAGGTCTTCCAAGAATGAAGGCAATAAGGGGAGTAAAGCAAGAGGGTCATGCTTTAATTATGGAAAAGTTGGACACTATAAGCCAGAATGTCCATTGATGAAGAAGGACAAAGGAAAGAAAAATAATCGCTCACAAAAGAAACAAGGTAAGCCTAGAAAAGCTTACATCACTTGGGAAAGCGATAGTGAGTCAACTGTAGATGATAGTTCAAGTGACGAAGAAGAGTCCGTCAACCTTTGTCTCTCCGCTCATCAAAATAAGAAAAAGCAAAAATGTACGACATGCTAAATATGAAAACTCTACCAGATTATCTCATTCTGAATTACAACTTGCCTTTGATATCTTACACCATGAAGCCAAGGAAGCCTTTAAACGGTTGTCCTCAAACAAACAAATATTTACTCATTTGGAGCAAAAGATCTCCGATTCCGAAAGGGAATTGGAGGCTCTAAAGGCATTCGTGGTGGAAGTAACAAAGGTAGATGTTGAGGAAGAAAGAAGTAAATGGGTAAACTTTCAGTGTGATACTTGTCATATTTGGCAAAAAGAGGTTAGAACTCTTAAAGCCAAACTTGACAAGGCTCTAGGACCAAAGATCACGTTTGCAATTGATAGATTATATTTTAGAAAAAGCATGATTAATCCTTATCAAAAATATACATATGTGATAAAAAAAATCAAGGTAACAAAAGTGATACAAAGGTTAACCTCACTTGCTTGTATAGTTGCAAAAGGGGTCACACCGTTGTTAAATTTTGCTTTAGGAGATTTTTAGTTCCTAAAGGGGTTTATCAATGGTTGCCTAAATGCAACCAAGGTTTTACTCACAACTAGGGACCCAATAAAAAATTGGGTACCTATTTTCGTTGATTATTTTTATAGGTACAAAGTCTTGAGCCTACGGAGAGAAGATGAGGTCTCGATAGTGGATGCTCAAGACATATGACAGGAGACATATCTCTCTTCATTGACTTTGTGACAAAGAAGAAGGGATTTGTAACCTATGGAGACAACAACAAGGGAGCAATACTTGGAAAAGGTAGTGTAGGTAATCCCTCATCAACTACTATCTCTGATGTATTGCTAGTTGAGGGCCTTAAACACAATCTCATAAGCATTAGTCAATTATGTGACAAGGGATACAAAGTATCATTTTTAAAAGATTGTTGCATTATTGAAAATAATGATAAAAGGGGGGATGTGTTTAATGGCTTAAGGGTAAATATTGTTTATATGTTGGATTTGAGTGAAATATCATTGAGTAGCGACAAATATCTCGTGACTATGATTGAGGACTTGTAACACCCTTCTAAACCCCACGGAAAATATATGAATAATCAGAGTAAATAATCATGCATTCACAAAAGGACGTCACACTTAACTTTCAAACATCAAAAACCATCTGTCATGCTCATTAACACTTTAATAAATAATTATACTTTTCAAGATTTCACTTTGCATGTAGCAGCGGATTCAATTTATATTCATAATTCTCTTAACAGAACATTCGTGTTCATCACATAAATCAACATTACTTAGGCACTAAGGCCAACATCATTATATTCCAATGAACACAAAAACATAGCGTAGAGTACATAAAGTATCTCTAAAACATAAATCAACGATCCCAGTGTTACATGACCAGAGCATGACTCGACCCAACATAATTAAATTACTAGACAGTTACACCAATAGCGACTTCACAACTACAAGCAACTCTACTCTCGATACATGCACGATGTCATATAGGACATCATTCCAACAGAAGGGTGAAAAATATTATCATAATAACAATGCATATGATCATATATGTACATTAACATAAAAATATGCATACACTACGATCTCACCATATTTTGTCATAATCCACTCATATACATCACAATGCACATATTCCCAATTCACATCATTGTACACAAACATACACATCCATGTTTCTTCACCCAAATTCATCACAAAGTACACACACACACACACACACACACACACAGATATATATATATATATATATATATATATATATATATATATATATATATATATATATATATATATATATATATATATATATATATATATATATATATATATATATATATATATATATATATATATATATATATATATATATATATATATATATATATATATATATATATATATATATATATATATATATATATATATATATATATATATATATATATATATATATATATATATATATATATATATATATATATATATATATATATATATATATATATATATATATATATATATATATATATATATATATATATATATATATATATATATATATATATATATATATATATATATATATATATATATATATATATATATATATATATATATATATATATATATATATATATATATATATATATATATATATATATATATATATATATATATATATATATATATATATATATATATATATATATATATATATATATATATATATATATATATAACACCAAGCATATTTATCATGCATATATCCAAAGTTGTCAATTCAACAATTCACACACAAACATACTTTCATATAACAATGATATCTATGTCATGTGACTCATATAAAACTCATCAATTCTCACCAATTCCTATTTGGGATTATGGGTACATCGGTTATACCCCACCAGAAACAACATCTCA